CCTGCCTATGCAGGGGGTCGGCCTGCTGGGTCACAGAGGTGGCTTCTGCCTGAGGAAGAGCCATGCCTCACGGCTGACCCAAGTCGTGGAGGTGGTGCGGGTGGGCAGTGAGCACCTCAGACACTGGCATATCGGGACTGCTCAGTGCCACAAAGCAACGGGGGACGGTGGCAGCTGGATTCACATGCTGGTGAGTGAAGGAGGCAGGGGGAGCTCTGATTTTAATATGATTTAAAAAAAAAATCAAATGCCAAAATATATAGGTATTTAGAAATGATGTTATTATAAAGATTGAGGCACTGCTAGGCTTCTGAATTGCTTTAACACTGTAAATATATCAATAAGACATTGCGTTCACCCGACATACACGTACACATAATGCAGATTTTGGATTTTTTTTGATCGGAGAATTTTGGCTTTTTAAGCGGAAAACCAAGATCTCTGGTGATAAGATAAACCCTGTTTGTTTTACGAGTGTTGGCTTTTTCACCCTTGGCCTGTAGCCGGCGAGGATGAGAATGGGGGAGAAACCGAACCGGAGAAACACAAGGCCCCTCCTCCGTTGGGGCTGGGAGTGGGACCCGCGCCATCTCTGCTGTGGCCTTGTCCTTTATAACCAGCATACTGCGGTCTCCCAGGACCCACCCTACAGCGCTTTCTACAGCCCGCTCTCGTCCTGCTGGCCTGTTTTTCTGATTTCTAGAGCAATGATGCTTTAGGTGCCTTTGTGTCCTGCAGCTCACTGAGGCCGCCTTCCTCTCGTGCCCCTTCATGCCCCATGGGACGATGCAGCAGGTTTTTTGACGCTTATGGGCGATTAAACATTTTTCCACTTGCTGAGCATGGCCTCTTGGTTAACTACCCACCTGGGCCAGGAGAAGCAGTACGGGCCCCCCACCCCCGAAAACCACTTTGAAGAGTCCCTCTGTGATAGGATCTACGCTCTCATTAAGGCTTTCCACAGTCATACTCAAAGTGGCTTTTTGGGTCTAAATCTTTGAGCCTAGGTGTGATCTCAGTTGCACGCCCCGGAGAGGAGTAATGGGTGTAAGTGAACCTGGTTTGGTGACCTCCTTCCATGTAAGCCGACTGTGGCTTGTTACTCTTCTCCATCCCCCTGCTCCTCCACGCACCAGTCGACGCAAGTGAGCTGCCAGCACAAAAGGGGAAGGAGGATGTGCCAGCAAAAGGCCAGGTGCAGGTTTTTCCCACCCCCATGCCACCCTGGCTGGGGGAATCAAAGTCACAGTCTATTACTTGGTTTCTTGTAGGGCAGCTGTAGCTAGGCCCTTGCCAGGTTCCCCCTCCCCAGGCCCTGATGGTGTCTGTTGGATTATATGGGAGCCCCGGAAATCCAGGACATTGTCTGGGAAACTTGGGGCACCGTCTCCCCCCAGCTCTCACAAGTCAGTGGGGGCAGGGCTGAGTGCCCACCTGCACGGTGCTCTGACGTCTGGTTAGACTGTGCCCTGTGTTTTTGGGATGCCCATTATAATTCCCTACAGCCAACTGGCACCAGCCTCAAATCTGGGTCTGTTCCGGCTCAAACGGGACATACCGGTCGTCCTCCCCTTGGATGGGGCTCTTTACTAGCTGGCTCCCCTCATCCATCACCACCGTGCTGCATCGTGTGTCACCGCTGCTGCTTGCTGTCCTTTAATACCTGAATTTCAAATGGCTCCGAGTCCTGCTCTGCAGTTGGATCCGCACTGCAGCTGTCTTGTTTCCTTTGCCTCCTGCTTTATGGACAATGCCTCTTTCATCCCAGCTTCATTGTTGATGTAAATTCACTCCGAGTTTATAAAACTCACATCTGGGAGAGTTTATTTCAGATGGCCCTGCCTCCTCCACCCACCCGAGCAGGTATCTGACTTGCGAGGATCAGCTAGGAAAAAATGTCATAATTTCCTTTGCTTTTGCTTCTGGAATAAAGCAGAGGGTCTCTAAATGCAGGAACCAAGAGGTGGCATACAATGCAGTCATTGTGCTGCTTGTTATGCCTTAACAGGCAGTGTGACTGGCTGGATAAATCCTGCTTGGAAAAGAAAGTAAGGAGCGTGTCTACATTGCTGTGACTTGGAGCTCGCTTCAGAGCCCTTTGCTATAGCGGCATAGCCACAGAGCTCAGCATGGCTTAACTGCCCGTGTCTGCATCCAGCCTCTTGGGTAGGGTCTGCAGCCCGCGGTGAGTCCGAAGGGAGCTGTCATCCACCAAGTCCCAGAACGCTAGACGTGGGGGCACCCGCTGACATTTCTAGGTGTCAGATTTAAAAGTAACAAAAGAAAGTGTGTTTTCTAAGCAATGTGTAGTTAAGTTGTGGAATCCAGTTCCCCAGAAGGCGGTGGAAGCAGATAGCACATCCAGGTTCAAAGAGGGACTGGATAAATTGGTGGCTGATAGGTCTATTACTGGCTATGGAGTACAATGATTGGACACGTCTCCTGTGGCATCTCCACACCTATAACAGTGGATGCCAGCAAGGATATTGAATAGGGGAGGATCGCTTT